GTAATGAGATACCATCTCACCCCAACAAGGCTAGCATTAATCCAAAAAACACAAAATAATAAATGCTGGAGAGGTTGTGGAGAGACTGGAACACTCATACACTGTTGGTGGGAATGTAAAATGGTACAACCACTTTGGAAATCGATTTGGCGCTACCTTAAAAGGCTAGAAATAGAAGTACCATACGTTCCAGCAATCTCGCTCCTTGGAATATATCCTAGCGAAGTACGAGCCATCACACGAATAGATAATATGCACACCCATGTTCATTGCAGCACTGTTCATGATAACAAAAAGATGGAAACAACCTAGGTGCCCATCAACGGTGGATAAACAAATTATGGTATACTCACACAATGGAATACTACACAACGATAAAGAACAATGATGACTCTGTGAAACATAACATGGAGGAATCTGGAGGGCATTATGCTGAGTGAATTTAGTCAGTCGCGGAAGGACAAATGTTGTATAAGACCACTATTATAAGAACTCAAGAAAAGGTTTAAACACAGAAGAAAACATTCTTTGATGGTTACAAGGGTGGGAAGGGAGGTAAGGGTTATTCACTAACTAGACAGTAGACAAGTTATCTTAGGTGAAGAGAAGGACAGCACACACTACAGGGGAAGTCAGCACAACTAGACTAAACCAAAAGCTAAGAAGTCTCCTGAATACAATCAAACAATTCGAGGGACAGAGCAGCAGGTGTGGGGGTCTGGGGTCCATGGTTTCAGGGGACATCTCGGTCAATTGGCATAATAAAGTTTATTAAGAAAATATTCCTCATTCTACTTTGGTGAGTGGTGTCGGGGGTCTTAAAAGCTAGTGAGCAGCCATCTAAGATGCATCAGTTGGTCCCAACCACCTGGAGTAAAGGAGAATGAAGAACACCAAAGACACAAGGAAAGTATTATCCCAAGAGACAGAAAGGGCCACATAAACCAGAGACTTCATCAGCCTGAAACCGGAAGAACTAGATGGTGCCCAGCTACCACCAATGACCGCCCTGACAGGGAACACAACAGAGAGTCCCTGATGGAGCAGAAGAAAAGTGGGATGCAGAACTCAGATTCTAGTAAAAAGACCAGACTTAATGGTCTGACTGAGACTGGAGGAACCCCAGAAAGCATGGCCCCTGACTCTCTGTCAACCCAGAACTAAAACAGTTTCTGAGGCCATCTCTTCAGACAAGGATTGGACTGGACTGTGGGACACAAAATGATACTCGTGAAGAGTGTGCTTCTTAGCTCAAGTAGATACATAAGACTAAATCGGCAGCTCCTGTCTGGAGGTGAGATGAGAAGGCAGAGAGGGTTAGGAGCTGGTTGAATGGACATGGGAAATCAGGGGTGGAAAGGAGGAGTGTGCTGTCACAGTATAGGGAGAGCAATTAGGATCATATAACAATGTATGTATAAATTTTTGTATGAGAAACTAACTTGAAATGTATACTTCCACTTAAACTACAATAAACAAAAAAAAAAAAGAAAGAAAAAAGTGCTGGGAGCAGAGCATGTCCTTTGGACCCAGGGTCCCTGCAACAAGAACCTCCTAGATCCAGAGGAAGATTGATGCCAAGACACATGGAGATCTCCAAGGAACACTAGGCCTACAGATATTGAAAAGAGTTGAGGACCTTCCCACAGAGCCAACAGAGAGAGAAAGCCTTTCCCTAGAGCTGATGCCCTGAATTCGGACTTCTAGCCTCCTAAACTGTGAGAGAATAAATTTTTGTTTGTTAAAGCCATCCACTTGTGGTATTTCTGTTATAGTAGCACTAGATAACTAAGACAGATGGATGTAGAAACAGATATAGGCGTAAAGGGGTGTGTGTGTGTGTGTGTGTGTGTGTGTGTGTTCCCTAGCTATGCCCACAGGGAGAAACTAGGAGCAGTGACACCCCAATAGCAATGAATACAACTAGTGCCCAGGTCTTGGCTTCTAAAGATCATTTTCCTCTAAAGGAACCAAGGCTGTTTGTATAAAATGACCAATTCCGGAAAGTTCAAGATGAGCCTGGAAAATCTTTTTGTGCCTCCAAAGAAAGGAAGTACTCAGAGAATAATGGGGATATGTCAAAAGGACACAGAAGCCAGCTTCCATGGACATGGGCTCCCACTGTACAAACAGGAGACAATTTGAGCATTAAAATAAATAACTACAATAATAGATTACAACCCATTGAATAAAATAGAAAATCACGAGTCCATATAGATGTAAATAAGTAAATGAGTAACTTAAAAGTTTGAACAATGGGATATTTACATAACTTTACAAAATACTTATTACAAAGGGGAAAAGAGTAACTTGAAAGTGGAGGCAGCTGGAAGACACCACTTTAATCAAGTGATAAAAGTGAACATCATCAGTGATAGGATAAATTGAAACTGTGAAAAGATGCAATGAGAAGAACACAGCACCACTTCTGTGTTATTCCTGCCAAAGATATAAAACCTAAATCTAATCATGAGAAAACAAAAAATATATCCAAGTTGAGGGATATCCTACAAAGTAACTGGCCAGCCTTCTTCAAAAGTGTTGAGGTTATGAAAGTTGAGAAAAAATAGAGGAACTGTTCTAGACTGAAGAAGGCTAAAGATACATGACAACTAAATGCAACAAGTGATTCTGAACTGGATCCTTTTGAAAGGATCTGTTGAGTCAAAGACACCATTGAGACTGCTAGAGACACCTGGGTGTGAAGATTGAACGGTACTAATTCATCAACGAAGCCCTGGTGGCACTGGGGTTAAGAGCTATGGCTGCTAACCAGAAGGTCAGCAGTTCAAATCCATCAGCTGCTCTTTGGAAACCCTATGGGGCAGTTCTACCCTGTCCTATAGGGTCGCTATGAGTTGGAATTGACTCAACAGCAACGGGTTTAATGCATCAATGTTATTTCATAATTTTTATAGTTGTAGTGATGCTGGAGAATGTTCTTCTTTGTCGGAAATACACATCAAAGTATTCAGGGGCGATAGAAAGTCACATTGGCAATTTACTTTCAAAATGGTTTAGGGAAAAAAAGTTATTTGTGTTATTCTTCCAATTTTCCAGTAAATCTGTGATTTTTTCAAAATTATACAATGGTAACAATAGCTAGTAAAGATCTCCAGCTTAATAACTGGGACAGGCCCTGAGGGTAACAGGAATTGCTGCAGCTGAAAATGTTTCTAGCAATGAGATTATATCTGCTCAGGAATGTTAAAAGATAATCTCGCATTTTCATAAGTACCCCCGCCCCTGGAAAAAGATCGCTGTTTTTGTCTGCAAACTCTGGTACTTTGCCTGGAGGCCATTCAGTTCATTTTTAGAACCCCAAGACTCTTTTTGGAGTTACTGCCTTTCTGAGAGGGCTATGTCAGGGGTGTGGGCAATGCGTGTTGGAACCATGACCTGCTTTGGTTTCCCAGGTGGTCTTCCTTTGCCAATACCTTTATTTGCTTTTTGATATTTTTAAAATTGTTTTTTTACTATAACTATATGATTCCTAATGGGCACAAACTTCCAGATAGCAAAACATAGTCAATGATTTCATAAAAATCAGAATACAGCTCTGATAATTAAATAAATCAGCAAGATTTCATTTATTAAAAAAAAGTCCAAGGTTTAAAACCAAAGCCCACTTTTAGTATGATTCCTTTAGAGAAAGGCAAACCTGGAGGCAAACTATCTTATAAAATTACAAATCACTTTCAGGAACCCAGAACATCGTAGTGAAATGATTATGGTTTGTACCGATTTCAAATCTTAGATTATTCACGAATTCTGAATATCGGTCAGTCAGCTGATACTGAATATTGGAGACCCAGCCTTGCAGCCTATTAGACATTTTAAAAGGATCTAAGTATGATTTCTGAGTGGCACAAATGATTTGTGCTCGACTACTAACCTAAAAGTTGACTGTTCAAACCCACCCATTGGTGCTGTGAAAGAAAGGCTTGGCAATCTGCTTCCATAAAGATTACAGCCAAAAAAACCCTACAGGGCAGTTCTACTCTGTCACATGGCATCGCTATGAGTTGGCATCGACTTGATGGCAACAGGTTTGTTTGTTTCTTTGTTTTGGTTTATGGTCAGACAGAGGGCAGTGGTGGTTCGGTGGTAGAATTCTTGCCTTCCATGCAGGAGACCCAGGTTTGATTCCTGGTCAATGCACCTCAAGCTCAACCACCACCCATCTGTCAGTGGTAGACTTGCACGTTGCTATGATGCTGAACAGGTATCAGCAGAGCTTCCAGACTAAGATGGATTAGGAAGAAAGGCTTGGTGATCAGCCAGGAAAACCCTATGGATCAGCCATGAAAACGCTATGGTTCACAACAGTCCAATCCCCTTGTGCATGGTGGTCACAGGGCTTGACTTGACCACAGCTAACAACAGCAACAACATAGTTAGACAACCTAAGGAAATGTCCGCCTATGGCCAAGGCTCTCCTTGTCGCACTCTTGGCATGGCCTTGCTCCTGTGTCCCGTGTGATGTTTGTTGACACCACAGGGAGCTGCAAAGTTGAGGAAGGATCTCATTTTATGGTGACGTCAGTTTATGAGAAGCCAGATGAGACCACTGCCAAGAAGTGCTTGCTCACTTCTCCTTCAACGGCAGGGGAATCTCCCTTTCCTTTTCTGGGTGAAGCGCAGAAAGGATTCAGAAATGAAGCTCAATCCATCTCACCAAACACAGCCCACACCTCCCAGCAATTGAACTTGAAAAAAACCCTGGTTTGAAAACTTACCACAAACTATACTGTCATCAAAAAGCCACTTCCTATACTTGAGGCCAAAGAAGAGAGTGGCAGGCACGATTTCCTGGCTGAGCAAACCATTCTAATACTTAAAGAGAGCAACACTTGACTGTTACAATAGAGACTAGATGGACCAGCAAGGGTGAAAGCCTGAATGGATTGATCCTCTCTTCCCCACCCTCCCAGCAGGATGCAAAGAGGCTGACAGGCGAACCCAGCATTCTGCAGAAAAACGTCTTTTCTTCACTGCTCCCACGTAGGCAGCCAGTCCCACGTGTCAGGAAGATGGAGCCAAGCTTGCTGGTGTGCGGATTATTGACGTTCACCATGGTAACTGGCTACATGGCAGGTAAGGAGCCGAGGGACGCCTCTGGAATCTTGAGAAGGCTGATGGATGTTACATCTCCCAGCCACAGACCAAGCAGAGGGCAACTAAGTAGAAAGTTCATGGAAGGGCATGTCCATGACCCATGGGGTCTCATTTTATGCCTCAGTGGTCCCTAATCTGTAAAGCTAGTTTGGGATGGTTGTAGGCTGTCTGTCATTTAAAGTGCTTGATGGTTAATTTTCTGAAAAATGAAAAGACATGATATTTGAATGTTGACAGGATACTGATGAGCAGATTCTTCAAGAAATTTTCTTTTATTCTTCAGTTAATTTTGTTTTCCACTGCACTCACTGGCTGTAAGAAAATACTAAAAAACTATTAGGAATCTCTCTGAATCCAGGTTAATGTACCTGAAATGTCAGTAACTCTTACTGGGATAATTTAAGATGTCCAAAAAGTTTAGCTTCAAGGATGTATGCTTTGCTTTTACTGCCTTAGGAAATAATACCTAGGAAGCTCTTTATAAGTACAACTGCAATTTTGTAGAAATTTTAGGAAATCTAAGGATCATCACTTTCAGGAAATTACTTTTTCCTATGTTTCTATGTGTATATGTGTGTGTATATATACATACATATGCAAATTTTGAACTTCATCCTTTCAAATGGGTTTTCTCAAAGTTTTTTTTAAGAAATAAAAAACATCACCAGCTTCTACCTCAAACCACTCTTCCTAATTAAATGTGAATTTTCTAATAACTTCTTCCCTTTCTTACTCAGGAAGACAGATAAGATATGAAAGCCTATAATTGCATATCCTTAATTTTTAGTCCTTCTGTTTAGGAATTATCAACTGGCTACAGAAAAAATTTGTTAAGAAGCGAAACATGACAACGCTTTAAGGAGTTTGTTAGCTTGTGTGGCGGAAGTGGCCCAGTTATGTTGGGCTATGTATTGACCCAGGTGTAGGAATTTCTTCTCTTTGAAATTAAAGCTGGGCTGATTTCTGGAAGGCTTTTAATGTGATTTCTGCTGTAGCTGTCACAGGATCTCTGCCAAGGTGGGAGTCAGTCCAAACCAGAACAGCAAAATCTCTGCAGTTAATCATGCCCTATCTCTTGGAAATACATCTCATGTTATTACTAGCGTTGGTAACTTTATCTGAGGAGTGGAATGGTCTCTCGTGTCAGTGGTGCAAGTGGAGATAACATGTGGCTCTTTCACTTCAATTCTCCAAAAATACATCTGGTACATATTATGTCCCTTTTCAACATTATAGGAAATACAAAAATGGACAAGACACAGTCCTGATCCTTAAGAGGTTTATAACATAGTGAGGGGGAGAAACGCATAGATATAATAACAAGTTGGAATGTGGGGAGAGATATGGGAGACTAGAGCTATCAGAGAAGGCTTTATAGGAGGCATGCAAACAGAGCTTTGAGGGGCTGGTAGTATGGCCCTAAATGGAGATTCCAGAGAGGGAGAGAGACAGACCATAGGAGCAAAGACCCAGCAATGCATTGTTGTTGTTAGCTGCCATTGAATTGGCCCCTTACTCATGGCAACCCCACGCACAACAGAACGCTGCCCGGTCTTGCGCCATCCCCACTATTTGTTGCTGATCAAACCATTGTGATCCATAGGGTTTTTATTGGCTGATTTTCAGAAGTAGATCACCAAGCCTTTCTTCCTAGTCTGTCTTAGCCTAGAAGCTCCACTGAAACCTGTTCAGCATCACAGCAACACACAAGCCTCCACTGACTGGTGGCTGCACATGAGGTGCACTGGCCGGGAATCAAACTCAGGTTTCCCACATGAAAGGCAGGAATGCTACCACTAAACCACCACTCAGCCACCACCGTCCCCATCAACAGTGCATTAGGGAACAGCAAGTGGTCTGCTGTGCTACCAGCCCTGAAGAGGTATGTGGAGATGCTGGAAATTAAGACTATAAAGGCAAGACAGGCAAATGAAGGATACAAGGCCTTGCGTAGCAAGTCAAACATTTTCAAACCTTATTTGGTAGCCAGTAAAGAACTACTAGAGAATAAAAATTACCATTTATAGAGTATCTTGTTTGCGACAGACAGATAAGTCTTATTTTAATCCTCATAACCACTTTGCAATATGAATGTCATGAACCCCATTAGATGAAGAAACCAAAGCTCAGAAGTCACATAGGTAGTGAAGAGTGAGGGTTCAAACCCAGGTCCCTCTGGCTTGTGCTCATTCTGTTCACTCTGAAAACAGGGTCAGAGCTTTATGAAGATGTCATAGAGTATTAAGAGATTAGATGCACAGAGACACGGCATAACTACCTGTTGCCATTGAGTCATTTCTGACTCACGTCGAACCCCACACATGCAGAGTATAACTGCTCCATAGGGTTTTCATGGCTGTAACCTTTTGGAAGTAGATAACTAGGCCTGTCTTCCGAGGCACCTCCGGGTGAGTTCAAACTGCCAACCTTCCAGTTCGTAGTTGAGCACTTAGCTGTTTGTGTCACCCAGGGACTCCTAAGACATGGCCTAAAGTCTTTGAAATGGTCCAATGAAGAGACAAATGAGAACCGTAGTTGCCAAAGAGAATGAAATAGATTGAGCTTCTGGGCTCAACATGTGGTCTAGGAACCATTCCAGGGTAAGAAATAATCTCATCTCAGGCTTTTTCATCCAAGAGGGGTCCAGTCTTTAAATAAACAATTCTTTTTATTCCTCAAGGGGTGGAAGTTCTCTAACGAAATAAAACAGACTGTCAACAGATGCAATTTCTAGCTGATTCATAAGGCAGATTTTCATTCTGAAAATTTCCAAAGCCACCATTTAAAATTGCGAGGGGTGGCGGGGGGGAGGGGGGTGTATTAGACAACTTGGCTGTTTTTTAGTCTCTATATTACTGGGTCCTGGGATGTGGTTAAAAAGAGAATTCTCCTGATGTTGCCAACACGGCACGTTATCGAAGCTACCTTTCTCAGAATCGTGGAAATTCTGAGAGTTTATTTGTCCCTTGATCATCTTTCATTCTAGGAATTCTGTGATCAAATCTTCAGCTCCTAGACTCAAAAAAAAAAAAAGTGCGGAAACCTATGAAGATGATATTTTTGTCTAATTATCCCTTCTTGTAAAGACTGCTGCCTACACTGGAATTTCCCACCCTCACATTTGTGTTTTAATGACAATTAAAACACAAAATCTAACTCTTCACATCTGAGCATTCAATTTATCTGGTCCATAGTATTATTACTACTATTACCTTGCTTATCTTCAAGATATACCTTGGAGAGGTAGGGCTTTGGTGAGTATAGGAAGTATCTTATAAAACAGTCACTACTTTCTTTAAAACTGTATGTCTTAAGATGTTATTGTTGTTTTGTACGGTTGAGTCAATTCTGACTTATAATGACCCTTTACAACAGAGTAGAACTTCCCCATACATTTCCCTAGGCTATAATCTTCGCTGCAGCAGATGCTAGGTCTTTTCTCCTGTGGAGCAGACCACCGACCTTTTGGTTAGCAACCGAGCACTTAACCATTGCACCACCAGGGCTCCTTGTATGTTTTAAGGAGGCAGTGCTAAACATCACTTGTACATATGTTCCCTTTTAGATTTGAGAAAACTGAGGCACAAATAGAACCAACTTCATTAATGAGTTAGCTGGAGATGTTTGTACAGAACTGTCAATGGGATCCACAAATCTACCACTTAAACGTACTCATTCCAAAGAGAAGTAGCCTTGGACTTTTTGGCATTCACTTGCTAAAGGCTTGGATATTCTTATGTGTGATTTCTTGTTGAAGTCATTCCTATAATAGCTATAATAACCATTTAGTAGGGCTATGCCTCAGCACTATGACCATTCAAGGTATTCAGTTTCCCTGCTCTACTCATTCCCAATGTGGGAACTTCACAAGTAAACAGAGATTTCCCTTAGGAAGTCACCTGAGATCAGTGGGGAGCAGAATTAGAAGGAAATTGAACCTTGCAGGAAGCTGCAAGTGTGCCAAGGCACCTCCTAACTAATGTGGTTGGAGAACTTTAGAGAAGACATGAGAAGGGTGTGACCTTTGACAAACTGCTGTACCTCTCTGAGCCTCAGTTTCTCTCTTGTGAGATGAGAAAGTTGGCCTAGATGATCTTTAAATCCCCTTCCTGTTCTATCACTCTGTGTTAAGAATTCTGAAAAGGAAATAAAATAACTCTGCTTAAAAGGCATTTTCAAGCTGGGGTACTTTTGGATGAAAAACTTTCCAAACTTAAGATTTACAAGGCAGGGTCTGGGTTCAGAGACCTTTGAGTGTCAAAGCACCAAAGCCTGACATCTCATTGTAGGTTATTTCCAACTTTTAAAAGGCACTGTACTGTGCTCACGCATGACCCACTGCTTCCGTAACCGCTGCAGTTGTAGATGTCAAGACAAAAACACCACCAACCGTTGCTGAGGACTTCTGCTGTATGTTTGCCTATTTCAGGAATTTTTACCCTCAATGCCTTTGTTTCCCTCAGGACAGGTCTTGTGTGACTGGAAACCTATCTCTCTTCTCTTTATACCAGACCATTCCATAGTGAGAAAGGAAAAAAAATAAAACAGTTGCCATCAAGTTAATTCCAACTCATGGTGATCCCTTGTGTTTCAGAAGTAGAACTGTGCTTCATAGGGTTTTCGATGGCTGATTCAATGGCATACTAGGATTACAGAGATGAAAAAGGTTACAGTCCTTGCCCTCAAACTGCTTGCTCGTGGTTAACAATGGAGATGAGACATATGCTGAGCAAGTCCTCTTCTGAGGACCTGCCAAGGGAAAGCCAACAGTGTTAGTCAATGAGTCAACAACCCATCACTGAATCCCCCATTGCCTTTCAAGTAAATCACTCATTTAGGGGAAAACAGTAATATAATTGTCTCTAGGGATTTTAGGTATTTTCCACTCTAAGATTACTCTGATTTTTTTTTTTTTTTTTTTGTTTTTTAACTGATTTAAGTTTATTCTGAGATTTGCATCCATCAAGAAGAGAATGCAA